CTGCCTGAAAGGTTTTCAAAATATGTTGATCAATTCTTTAAAATATAATTAAGTTGTAAGAGGTAAAAAGTTAGACTTAAACAAGTGTACATAAAAATGGGTATATAATTTAAAAATTAACAGCTCTTTAGAACCTTCAACTAAAATACTTAGTAATACAGTAAATAGTGTTACTTAAATCATTGTCAGCGAAAAAGGACTTTAAATTAAAATTTCATTTAAATAAAAAAAAACATTGTTTGAAAAAAACAAATATACTTTCAAATTGAAAAATCGCTGCTTACCGAAATATAACGTTATATTAATCTAAAATCACAGTACTTAAACTAAAATTACTAGTAATTCCATGCTAATCAATATTATCACTGATTAAATTCCAGCCAAATTAATCTGTTCGCTAAGTCAATATTGAAACCAGTATTGCGTTAAGTTTGGTAAACTACTGAAAGCTAAAGTTTTCATGATCGAACCGCCAATAGCTATAATTTTATCGACTTTGTCCTAGGGACGAATTAATTTTCGGTCAACCACAGATAAAACATGAGGCTGGTTGTGGTTCGCCATCTTCATAAATCCCCAACTGGTGACCAAACTTTGACCACATTAGTGCAAAACGAATCATTCATTATGAAACATTGGGGCAATTACTGTGCGATGAATGTATTGGTGTTTTATTAAAGTCAAAATAATAATAATAATAATAATAAATAATAGAAGGTCTTTCTTTCTTTTTTATTAAATAGCCTTTAGTAGTCAACGGTTTTACATAACAAACGTATAGCCCTGAAAAGGTTCGATTCTAACAATTTTAATTTGTAACGAGTCTCTCATAGGAATATCAAATAAGACTTTTTATAAAATTCTTATCGAGGTTTGAAATAACATGTAAATTAAATGTAGTAAATTGAAGGCTATTGTACAAAGATACTTGTTATAGAGGACCGCTTGTTATTGAGGTTCCACTGTATAATGGCAATGGTGGTTAAACAAGAATATGGGTTTTAAGCTGTTACCTAAAATCGTTAAAAATATTCATTGGCATATAAAAATTACAAAATAAGAAGTAATACATGTCATTTATTCATATAATCATTTATTGTTGGCAAAATACATTTTTACACAACAGTCTATACAACAGTTATGTTTATTTTAGTATTCAAGTATCTCTAGTGGAAATTAGTGCATTTTTAGAAAAGTTTGATAAAACAATGATGTGCACTACACAATGAATCCAGGAATTATAATATAAAATACCCCCGCCGCAGCAAACCTGCCGACTAAGCGAATTTCCATTTGTCTGAATTGATTTTCAGTTAAATATATTTTAATAACATTAGGTTTAACGAGTACCTAGGTTTGCTGCTACAAGGAAACTAATAAAGTGTGTTTTTGAGTAAAATATTGATAGCTTAGTACAAAATAAATAAATTTGCCAAGTTTGATCAAAATATATCCATAAACAAGCAAACTACAACATTTGACAATATTCTCCATAAGAATAACATGGGAATTTTAAATTTACAATTTTTTTAATTTTCTCCGTTACTAATAATCGAACAAAAATACTTTTATATACTAAATTATTTGTTTTTTTAAGCTCTTTAAAAAGGTCTAAAGAGAAATCGGGAAATTTTGTGTTTTGAGGGTCAAAAGTGAGAAAAACCAATTTTTACCCTATAAAACCCCCCGTAAAGCCCCGTTCCCATGGTCCGATCGTGCTGGTTCGCGAACTCATTCAAGTTTATCCCGCTTTACACCTTTAAACCAAATTTCATCAAAATCGGACAAAAATTACTCAAGTTATCGCGTTCACGGACGTATATATATATATATATATATATAAGTCTATATATATATATATATATATATATATATATATATATATATACATATATAACAATTTGAACGAATGGTGTTTTTGGCCTCTGGGGACATCAAAATGAAAAAGTAAATCGGTCCCGGGTCTAGGTCTTACCGTGCCACCTACGGTAATAGCTACTTCCCTATAGGGAAATTCGCTAAAAATTTGAATATCCTTTCAGATTTTATAGTTAAAGGAAAAAGTAATAGCCTAAACGAAAAATAGTTACGTTAAAGTATCTTAAACATGTTCTTTCAAAAGAAAGATTTTTCCAATATTTGTTTAAAGGTTTCAGTTCAACAATATACTACTTTATAAATTTGTTGAATTGGGTTTAAGCTCAGTAAATACTTAAAAACTACAAGTCAAATAAAAGGTTCGGTTAAAAAATATTTTTTATGTGACCAATCTGTAAAATTTGATAGATTAAAGTAAAATATTGAACGGTAGACCTAATAAATACGTTAACAATAGAGATTCCGGGTTTTAAACTAGCTTGAACCGAATTGTATACTGTATAATTTTCAAACTACTATTTCAAACTAAATTTAATAACTTAAGGTAGAAAAATTACTTCACATATTCTACAAAAGTTATAGTTGATTGATTTATATTTCAGTCAGTTTATTGGGACAAGAGAGTGTACAGAATTCTTGCTTAAGTATTTAAAGTGAATTACTACAGATAAATCCATTTGCAAGAAGTTAAATAATTTTCCAATATCTTCAAGTATCTAGAGAACATTGTTCAACTAGAAGTATCAATTAAGAATCGGCATCTTTCTGTTTGCTTTCTACAACACTACAGTTGCTGAGTTTTCTTAATTGTTCCAATTTACTCTAGAAATAACTTATTTTTCATTGGAATGAATAAATATTTGATGGAAATTTGTACTTCGTGTAAAGTAGCTTGCAGTAAAGTTGTTTTCATTAATAAAATCTAAATTGTGAAACTTATATTTTTTTAGAACGGTTCTAGCTTTTGGCATTTTAAGGGGATTAGACCGATGAGCCAGCGCCAATCCAGCGCCAATCCAGCGCCAATTTAATATAAAACCACTGGTTTTATATTAAATTAAATATAAAAAATTAACTAACGATTGTTAAAATTGAATTTGAGAAAAGTAGTAGGATCATTTGATTGGAAATTTGTTAAGACATAACACACTTGTTTAGTTTTGTATTTACTATTATGTTTTTTAAACATTTATTAACACGACTTTTTTGCTGATCAACAATCCGTCTATGATAATCCTTTTTTATGCGTATTTGTAGATCTCAGGTTGTATAAAAAATAATTGTTTATTTATTAAATAGTTACTAATTAATACTGCTACATCCAATGGTGTATATATTTTGTAGGTGGAAATTAAATCGGCCTCCTTATAATTGCTTGCTAATAATTTTGAACAAACCCCTTCATTATAAGAACGTGATTTAGGGACTGCGTTAATACTGCTTTCATGAAAATGAAGGCGTTTGTAAGGATTTTCATTTTTAACCGTCTGTAAATGTAAAATAGTAGTGTTATTTACAGACAGTTAAAACATTATTATTATTATTATTATTACAGAGGCATTATCGTTGTACAAAACAATTGATATTCCTAAGAATACAAGTTGTTATAAGGACAAATTTATAGTTGTATTCGTATTGCATAGCCTATTTGGATTTTATTATGTTTAGTTTTACTTATACATTTTGCGTCCTCATATGTTTTAAATATGTCAATTTACGTAAACTATTTACGTATTTATTATTACTTTTTTACCTAACGATTATTTTTATGAAAAATGATAAACAGTAGTCAAAAAAATTCCGACTTATTAATCCCTACTGGTAAAGTTCATCTGCTTGGAGTTCATCGGTGAAGAATCTGAACTTTGCGGACCAAATAAAACATCTCCGATTGAAACATCAAAGGCAGCAGAACAAATAGTGGCCGAAGTTTAGCGGTCTTTGATACGAGACTCTGATTGGCCAAGCTGAATAAAATATCGCATTTGTATTGAATGTGTTAACAGTCTCTGTAAACTTTCAACCCACTTCTTTGTTGACATTTCCACTCCGTTATGCATATTTATATTTGTATCCTTGTCTCTTCGTTTTATCAATCCATTAATGATTGTTAAGATTTTTTACTTTTTTTCTACATCTGAAATTATAGAAATGTTTTAACACCTTCGTTTACCTTTTTGTCGTAAAATTTTTGTTATTAGAGTTTTTAAATTTTGAAAATTTTTGTATTACATTTGTTTTTTAATAATTGATTAATCTTGATAGTTTTTAAAAGGACTTTAAATGAACAAAATATTTAGACTATCGTTACCTATATATTCTTGTTTTATTTTTCTTATATTATCCTCCATATATGTCTCTTTGTTCTTTCTTTATTAGTCATATAATCCTGCTCATTTCCTAGTTTTTTCTCCTTTCAATGTTCCTACATCATTCATAGTGTCTTCGCCCCTTCCTCATTCTTTACCTTATACAAATTATTTGCTCTATTGAGAGTGTAGGTTCTTTCTCTCTTCCAACTTTGTATCCTCAAACCCATATTCTCTTCAAAATTCCACCCATTTTATTCTCTTTTTACCACTTTACTATTTTCCTCACTTCCCATTCCTAATTCTTCAATTTTAAGTTAGGCTTATATTTGTTTAAACTAACCATATTTTTAATCCTTGTCATTTCCATCGCATGCAAAAGCCTAATTCATCTTAATTGTTTTTAGATATATTCCAGCGCCACTTCGATAATCAAAATGGATCCCAGATTTACAGATACTTGATAATTATCTATTTTGTAAAGCAATTTAATTGCACCTCTGGGCTTTCCTTCTGTTCCCTTTTCACGTTTCTTTCCTGTCCCTATAATAGTATTTTATTTTGCTTTCATTGTTCCAAATATTTATGAACTTCTACCAAATTTATTTTGTTCCAGTGCCTTCTTGGGAAGCCAAAAAATTATGCATGCCAGATTAATTAGTACTACGCAATCTCCCATGGATCCGTTGTTTTCGGTTTCCTTAACCATTCTACCTTCTTGCCTCCCTTCTGTACATTTCAACGTGTTTACCCTTGCTGCATTATTTAATTCATCACATTTTTCAGACCTCAGACAATTCTGTTTTGTTGCAGCACATCCCCCAGTGCCCAGATGGAGTCTTCACCGCACCCGTTCATGCGGTCAGTCTCGGCCCCGACGGCGCCCTTGCCGCCTCCCTCGGACCCACCCACCCCTACTGGCGCCCCCGGAGCCACCTGTGGCGACTCTGAGGAAGCGGCCGAGGCTGCTGAGCAGGTGGCGCCCCTACAACCTCCAGTGTCTCTCAGGCTGCAACCCCCGAGGAGACGTCCCCTGCTGCACCAGGCTTCCGCCCCTGTCACACAGGCAGAGATGCGGAGAGTCCATCTGACCAGGACGGAGCTGGTGAAAGAGTGAGTACTCTCGCAAATTACTAAGGAGATTGAAGTTAATATCGCATGCTTTGTCGTGAAGAGGAGTATACAATTATTTGTTAGTTCACATTCTCAAGTGCCAATAGAATTTACGTGCTGTTTGGGATTGCATTTTAAGGTCCACAATGTATGACCGCCAATGATCACTCATTTTCAGTCTTTTCCCTTGTATATCATCACTCATCCATCCCTCATACTCCTCTGCCTTATTCAAATTCTTTGCTATATTAGTACAATAGGTGTATTTCCGCTCTCTTACCCCCAAATTGACATTCTCATTATAAGAATGTTCCACGGGGGATTTAATTATAAATAATTATAAATTAGGGATTTAAGGTTTTTATATTATCGTTAGGAGTTTATTCAGGCCCTATAGTTCACAAGTTCCGCAGTCTGACAAATTATTGTATCCAGTTATAACACCAAGTTTTATTACATCCCTTTAAAATGTTAGTATTTGTAAAACTTATATAGTTTTTTCTTCTCTTCTCATTCTTCTCTTGGAGATCCTCCTTTACACGTTAGTAATTAGAGTTTTTTCTTATTCCTATTACTCAGTTCTTCCTCTATGTGCAACTTAAGTAAACGTGATCTATTCCTACAGTGCATACAAATGAGCCTCGACTGAAGTGTATATGTCAATATTTTCAACAAATAGGAGGTAAATAAACATCATAGACATTTTTACTTTTTTTACAATCTAATTTTTTATTCAAATTAAAATGTACATGACAAGTGTATTTTACTATAGAATTTACGCATTGAATAGTTTGATAGTAAATTATACAAGTCCACAAGTGAGCTCTGAATGGATACAACTAAATATTTATAAATTTACATTACATATACACACATGTTCTCGTAATTTATAATACGTCACCATCTTTATTTATCAGAAAAAGTGATTACCCAACCTTATATCTGTGCAACGCATCTCAAACGTGAAATAGAAATTCAAAGCCCAATAATTGGTCGTGACGCTGCCGTTAGGAAGGTTATTTATTGGTTTTGAAGGGATGAGAGCTGGATAGCAAGGTGGAGTATAAATAATTCAGTGCTGTCACTGGGCAGATGCGATGTTTAGGGAAAATCACCATTACCAACGTGTAAAAGTAAAATACCATTAGTTTCTTCTTTAAAGATTTTCTTGGTGTAAATTTTAGTTTTATTTCCATTAATGATTTATACCCATTGCAGTATTTCTGAATTTGTTATAATCCTATTTTACAATTCACTAGTTAATTTATAATTTTACCTAGCCATAATGTTGTATTAAACTGAATTATGTATTTTTTGAACAAGTATTCAAATTAATTCAAACAGATTGGTATAATAAAAAATACCTGATGTCTTTTTGAACTAGTTACTTGATTTTGAAAAATTGTATTGGATCTTTTTCAGCATATTGAATTAGATACTTAATTCTGTAACTATAAGTGGATATTTTCCTCGACTTAGAGAACATAAGTTAAAAATCAATAATATTTAATTGACATTAAAAAATGCCTTTTCATCTATGCGTTTTCGTGTCCTCTACTAAAAAATATGCATTCATTCAAAATGTTTTTTACTTTTTAGGAAATTTTTAATCAGCTTATTGTTGTAAGCTGTCAAAAGTTGTAAATGCCGAAAGAGAAGAAAGATTTTAGACCACGTCTTTTAAAGATCACATTTAAAGATGCTCTACGCTAAAAAAAACTTGAGTTACGTCGCTTAAGAATTTCCGCTTTTCTGGTTTCTTTCAACGTTTCTGAGAATATCAGACCTCGGGAAGTGAATATTTTATTTTTGGTGTTTCCTTTACACATATTTTTTTTATTTCGTGTTTTTACTTTATTTTTTAATAGTTAAATTAATCGATTATATAAATCATTAAATCGTTTTTAATATTGTATAACAAATTATAGCAACATTTACTAAATCGATTACTTAATTTGGTTTTTATTTTATTCTATGTAAAGCTCGATATTTATAGTAATAAACTTTCATTGAGTTAGCTGCTATGTTTATTTGTGTGATAAATTTAATTAACCCACCCTTAAAAAATAACGTTACTAATAAACGTTCGTTTAATTTTTTATATTTTAAAAGTTGTATGAATCTTTAAAGATTACAAATCACTTTATTTTTTAGTTTTAAAATGTCAATGCATTTATTCACTACAGTTAAACCAACGGAAAAGTATGAAATGTAAAAATTAAATCCTGTTAATATTTCTAACCAAATTGCTACACCCTTTTTACATAAAAACTATTTGTTGTAAAAGCTCAACTTTGCTAGGCTAAATCTGAGAATTTAACGCACAAAATAACTATGTACCACGCAAAATCCTCTACCCGAATCTTAATAAAATAGTACAAGCGCATACTTAGGGGACATAATAGTCAAAGATAAACCGTAACAAACCTCATTAAATAATAATAAAAATTGATAACCAGAGTCTCATGTGGATTATTAAATAAGACTTGTTATCGAGGTTGACTTCTTATTGAGGGTTATGTGATTGGGGGTAAAATAAATTCAAGGGAATTTGAAAATAGTTACAGTTGTTATCAAGAGTGACTTGTTATCGAGGGTCTTCTTATAAAGGTTCCACTGGTAAAGTGTTGTTTGTTAAACTTAATTTGTCTTATCTAACGTTTGCATTAGACTTTCTTTTATCATCGAACAGAATAGAATTATTTACTTCAAGCTCAGGTGAATGGAACATTAGGATCGACTTGCAGTAAAGGTGGCCATTTACACGTTGTTTCGAACTTTAAACCTTGTTTATGGTCATTGTTTAAGCTTCCGTTCCACTCGATTTATTTTTACTGCAGCTTGTAAAATCTGTGGAGAAAACATAAGTTTTATAAACATAAACGGTTGTGTTATTGATGATTTCTAGCAATAAGTAAAAGTAATATTTTTGGTCAATTGGTAAATTGGATATTTGGAAGGTTTTTTGAAGGGAAATGTTTTAAACTGTCTTGTAGAGAAATCGTTTAACTGTTTCAACTCTCTTAAAATCTTACACAGCTAATCATTTGTTACTTAATATTGCCAAAAGAAACAAATGTACTCATAAGCTTATAGTTATACTCATACTTAATATTTTTTTACACACACTTTATTAATTTTAATTAGCCTACATGTGTAGAGTTATTATAGTTTACAAAACTTTGGTTTTAAACCACGTATGTTTATCTTTTTACAAAAATTAAGAGTGACGTAAAGATTTTCCCTTATTTGTCTTCAGTAGTCCTGATGTTAATTTTAAATTTAAAAAGTTTTAGCACGACCAAAACAGGAGAAATTACACATGATCACAACTTTTCAATTTTAGTCCGAAAGGTTAGCTTTGTTAAGGGGTTGATTACACAAATAGCAACACTTTTATAATAAAAAACACAATAATGGGGAAATTTTTAATTTTGATTGCATTATAATCTGGCAAAGGTTTGTTGTCAAAAGTATGTTTCTTACTTGTGTTGTCGTTATAACTTTCATACGTGCAAAATATGCTCCTCGTTTGGTGATAATGTTTTTTTATTGTTTATTGTTAGTACAATTGATTGAATTTCAAAAGAATAATTCCTTACCCGCTAATCGATTGGTTCGTATCTACTATAACTTTCCGTTTATCTATTTGCAAAAACGACGTATGCATTACATTTAGTTTACTTAGAAAAATAGCTTTCCACATTACAAATGAGTATCAAATGATCCAATTTTACAGTGTTTATTTTAATGTAGTATCCGATCGTAGTTATTAATTTTCGTTACCAATATGTAAAAAACGAGGGAAGAACGTATCGTTAAATTTTTTAGGGAATTTTAACGTTGAAAGGTTGTCAACACTCATCCAGCGTTGCCAACTGTAGGCGAGACTGTCACAGTTTTGAATAATTTATATCCTCCCCCATCCCTGCCAACCTTACCCCTTGAAATATCCTTCCTCCCTCTTTCCCGCTTTTAAACTGAAACCATTATATCTGTTTTCCTGCTTTACAGTAGTTTTAAATTAAAATTGAATACCTTTATTCAATAGTTTCAACCCAAACATGATGGTAAACTGTTTTGAATTTAGGCTGCGGATCAGTATAAATATTCCTAAACTGTTACAACCAGAACAAAAAAACGCCAGCCAGATCAGATTCAGATGAGCAATGATGAGTAGCAATGAGCTCCCTACTATTGAGTTACATTTGTATATGGTTTTTTAGGTTTCGCAGTTTTTTATAATTATAATTGTATAGTAAATTAATTTTTACGCTTATTTAACTAAGATATTGTTCGATTTGTTTTTTATTTTATTATGTGAAGTGTGGTGAACTTTTATTTTGATTTTAAGCAGCCAAATAAGGACTCTATCACGCACAGGTCATTGTGACCCATGTGATATTTTTTTATTTTCTTTATGTAATGCTGCAAAATAATTGTTGTAAATAAAGAATTTTTCTCTCTCTCTCTCTCTCTCTGTTGCTAAGCCAATTTTTAAGTGTAATCACAATATTTGTGTGATGGATTTTAATATAAAAATTTAATTTTAAGACACCTTTTGTTGGTGTAAGTTTGAAAATATAAAAAATCAGTGAGTAAAGACCAACCTGCTTTCCTTGCATATAATAGATGCATAATCCACTACATTGAAAAATTATTTTCTCCGTTATTGGTTTCTAATTTCATTTTTTTACTTAACCAACGTTTAACAGTTTTCTTTATTTTCTCCATATTTAATAGTTTACCACATAAAACTAATACTTTTTTAGTCGATTAAACAATCTGGCAATTTTATAGGTAACATTTTCAATTTTATAGGTAAAATTTTCAATTTTATCGGTAAAATTGTATTGGGATGGTTTCAATTTTTTTAATATGTCCGCTATTTTCCAATGTGGTCGCCAACTTTGTTTTTTCATACGGAACATCCTGTATTTTATGACTGTTTTGGAATGTAAATGTAATTTAAAACTTTTTATTCTTGGAATCATTTCTCT